TTTTTTTTTTTTTTTTTTTTTTTAATTAATATGCAGTTAAAGAGTTATAGTCTGATGCCAGGCTACATACCAGTTAAGTTACTCATCTCCCAAAACACATTCAACTGCCAATAATGTACTACCAACTACATCTTGTACCAATACTGTTATTTGACAACCCCTCTCAAGGGATTCTCTCCTTTAAATAAAACTTATGATGCACATTTGCTATGACTTGCAGTATTAATACAGACTAATTCCATGGTTGCACATGGAGCATACTTATGTCCAGATAGGAGAGAACCACCTGCTGAGTCACTGCCAATGCCTAGATCTTACCTCAAGTTCTTGTACCCAAGTACTAATCAGTCTCCCACTTGATTCCTATGCCTCAACCATTTTTCCACTACAAAAAGTTTACTCTCAGAGGCTTATGTCCTCAAGAAAACAAGCCCCAGTTCATTGTCTAGTAAGCCCTGGTGACATATTGATCAGTTATTTGCCCCACTATACAGCGATTCTGCGATATGGATAATCTAAAGGGAGGTCCAACTCTTAGACAGAAGAGGTGCTGAAAGCCAAGACTAAGATGAAGAGAGACCATGAATGCAAGCTGCAGATACGGCTTTGGGATAGTAGTGATAGTAGCACTGCTCTATCTTCACAGAAGAAGCCCTGTATATTGGGGCTATTCACAACTAAGACAGGTAGATTGTGGGGAGGGGAAAGGATGGGGCTAGGGAGGGGATCACTCTCTCTCTCTCTCGGAATTACATCTGGTTAAAACTAGGGTGGGACTGTATTGTAAACCAAACCAGTCATTCACAGAAGGTTTCACTTGCATATCAAATCACCAATCCAGACACCAAAGGCAAAACAGAAAGGAGACTATATCACAGAGGCGGGCAATTATTTCAGGTGGAGGGCCACTGACCCAGTTTTGGCAGGCTGTGGAGGGCCACATGGGTAGCCCCACCCCTTGACAGGTGCCCCACCTCCTGGTCACCATCTTGGGACCAATGTCCCAGGGACAGCACTGGTGGGGCCCAAAGCAGGATGCAGGCTGGCAGGGGTCTGTGGAGCCAGGCTGGGCTGCACCAGCAGGGAGAGGGGGAAGCTGGCTAAGCTCCGTAGAGCCCTGGCCAGCTGGGACCCTATACCCCTGCCGGCCTTCTCTGGACCCCACTGGTGCTGGCCCTGGGGCACCGGTGCAGGCCCCATGCTCCCACTGGCTCCCCGCCCACTCACACTCAGTGCCCCCCAGCCCCGTGGTACAGGATGGGGGCAGTGCGCAGCCCCAACCCCCTGCTTGCCAGTGGGGAAAAGCAGCCCCTCGCCCACCCCATGGCCGGTGCTCCCTGCTACAGCTGCTTGCAGCCCACGCAGGGATGTCTGGAGCTTGGCAGTGGGGCTGGGTTACAAGGTGGTGCTGAGCGCAAGGGGGGAGGGCGGGAAGCAGCCCCTCACCTGCCCCAATCCCAGTGCCCCACACTGCAGCTGCTCACAGCCAGCTTGGGGCTACCTGTGCCTGCTCCAGACATCCCCGCGTGGGCTGCGAGCGGCTGCAGCAGGGACTCCTGGCCACGGGGGGGGCGAGGGGCCGCTTTTCTTCGTGCAGGGAAGGAGCCCAGGGAAAAGCGGCCCCTTCCTGGCTTCATGGCCGCTGCCCCCTGCTGCAGCTGCTCGCAGCCCACACAGGGTTGTCCAGAGCAGGCACAGGCAGCCCCATGTTGGCTGTGAAGAGCTGCAGCACATGGCACCAGCCACAGGGTGGGGAAGGGGCCCTTCCCTGCCCCCCTGCTCCTTCCCTGCCCGGGGTCCCACCCTTCCCTACTCCTTACCTGCAGTTCGGGCACGGGGCAGCCACGCGCTCCCAAACCAGAAGCCCCGGTAGGGGCTTCCAGCTGGGGGGGTGGGGCCAGGCAGGCCCCACTATTGTTGGAGCCTGGTGGGCTTCCCCTGGGTCCTTTCATTTTTGACAGGAACCAAGGGCAGAGAAATATTAATTTTCTACATTTATTAGGGGCCCTGCGGGCTCGATAGAATGGCCTTGTGGGCCGGATCCAGGCCATATTTTGCCCACCCCTGCTATATCACAACCCCCCAGAAACAGAAGTTTCCAATGAGGCAGTAGACACGTAGCAGTAAATTGTTAAGCTACCACATGTGTGTGAAGCAGGGAGAACAGAAAGAAAATGAGGGTGCAGGTACCATTTGAATCTTCCCATTTCAGAAGATGACAGTTGCCTATTAACTGAATTATTTCAGAATATTGACACTGTGTATTCTCCAGAATGATAAGGCTTTTTCAGAGAAATCTTATTTTTCCAGCCCAAGCACGATGAATATAGGCAAACAGCGAGACAAATTTGCCAATAATATTTTTACCTAAGTAACGCAGTACTGCTTCTAAAGGCTTTCGAACAACTTGCTTTAACAACAATGGATTTTCTGATGCTTCTGGTAAGCGTGCTGTACCTGCAAAGAATATATCAGGGTAAGAGGAAAGCATTCATATTACAACATCAATGTAATTCCCAGCTAAGTACACATCAACTCTGCTGGAGGGCTCTCTCAAACAGAATAATGTTTATGGAGTAGGTACACATTTAGGCAAGGAACACAAAGCAAAGGAACATACCCAGTATGGGTACAATGTTTTAAAACAAAGTGCAGTCTATCATTTTTAAAAGCTATTTGGAAAATACTGTAATCAATTAGGATAGTTCTGGAAAAAAAAAAAAAAAGACTTAGTAGGTTCATCTGTGTTTCGCTGTAGTATCTTTTCATCTTCGATGACCTACTGAGGTCCCTTCCAACCCTAACATCGATGAATCTATGAGACAATTCCATTTTTTCTCATATGGAAATAATTTCAAGTACTGGTTTCTCCCATTCTTAAGTAAGCAGATGTCAGGTCAGGCAAATACTCACACTCTGCTTTGATTGCTGCACTGTTGATAGGCAGATAGGGATGTCTTGCTGCATGCCAAGGGCGCAAAATATCTCGACATAAGCGTCTGGCAATCCTTGTCAGTTTTGTTGTATGTAGATAAAACGCTTGTCGTGTCTTCATGGCAAACTTTGGGCTCCCACTGTTTCGCACTGGCACACCATGAGGACTCTTAAGAAGAAGGAAAATGGAAAAAGCCTGAGCATCTCCTTATTCTGATAACTGATCTTAATTAGAAAGTCAGGAAGTAAACTCCACATAAAAATTCATTCTAAAATATTGATTCCCAAACAGAAGACATGAGTACTTCTGACACGTAACTTATTCCAACTCATTCTCATCTACGTCTTCCTATAAGACCCCATCTTCCAAATATTTTTAAAGGGGAAGGGAAGGAAAGTCTGGCCAGTCATAAAGTAAACTATTTGCTTCTGTGCAGTTGCAGTCTTGTGACAACAGTCAAAGAATCCAGACCTGTGTATGTTAGTTAACTCTGTACAAGAGATCTAACATAGCTCCCACTGAAGTCAGTGAAAAACTGATCTAAAATTGTGTGCCAGAATTTAGATTACAACAAACTACACAGTAAAATCAGACAGGGCAAAATATGAATCTGTCACAGCAGGCTTTGGAATTTGCAAAGAAACACTCAACTCAGATCTTTCAAATAAAAAAAAACCAAACAAACCAGATCTCAACAAGTCTACCCTAACTTAAAGCCTTTGTACAACTATTCATGGCTTACATCAGCACTACACTTCATTCCAGTAAGCATTCATTGTCATGATTTATGCACTTGCAAAATGAAAAAGAAGGTGTTTTCTTATTGGCCAGAAAGCACAGGCAGCCCCATTATCAGAATAAGAAGTAGGAAATGCCATTCTTGCCCTCCAATTTTTGTTCAAGGAGAAGCTGGTCTCCACATATCACTCCATAGATATTTTTCAGTTAGGAGAACATAGAGAATATGGGACAAGGGAAGCTGGCTGATTTTCAGAAACCAAAAGGCATGAAAAAGTGAAACTTGGGACAAAGAGGAGCTTGGAGATGGCACAGACTGACAGAAGGGTTCAGAGATTGAAGCAAAGGCAACAGTGTGAAGCAAGAAACTGGTAGGGATGATGCTAAACAATTTAAGAACTTAATAAAGCATTCTCCCCCGCCCCCCATCTGAAATGTTGCTTCTCTTTCTACAAAGGTGCACTTAAGTCTGAGTTTCTCTTATTACAGAAAGGCTTTATCGTAAATGACAAATCAAGAAAAAGGGAAAAAATAGAACCAACGTCAGTTTGAAGTATGTAAAAGGATTAAGAAAAACAAATCAAACTGAAATTTACTACCAAGATAAAAAGCATAATCAGGACTTTACTGTAGCAGAAGTGTCACATCCACCACTGATATTCGATTCAAATATCTTGTGGAACAAACCACATTTTTCAAAGAGGGCTAGTGATTTCTGGGCCTCCAATTTAACACATCCGCAGGGGGCCTGATTTTTAGACAATAATGAACATTCCATTGCATTAAGGTTTTAAACAGGTAAGTGCATTTTTACGTGGTGTAAGTAGTACTAAAAGAATGCTTTTCCTATTACTGTTAATGGGAACTGAGTTGTGCTGGAGCATGAACACATGTGTTAAGCAATCTATACTGGAGATTACCTACCATATTATTGCGATTTGGTCCTGGTCTTTCTCCATCTAATCGTGTTGGCATTTTCAAGCCACCGTATTTCTTCCAGTATGTCCAACAGGATGCACAGAGGCGACACTGCATGTTAGGGGGACCCCAAGAATACCACTGGTAAGACTGTGTGGCTAGGGATAACAAAGGTGGAAATTATATATATTCTTAAACAGAAACACTTCCAAGTTTATTCTCTTTATAACGATCTTCACCATTTCAAAGGAGAAAGAGACCACTTGGCTTCATACTATAAATAAAACTAGACAGCATTCAAAAACTCCAGGTTAATTAAAAGTTTAATCACCATCTTCATTGAATTATAATGATTTCAACACTAGCTGTTATCTTTTATTATATCACTTAAAAATAATGTGAATAAGGGACAGGGAGACTTCTTGACAATGCAACAGAGAAATGCAAATATCTCTATGCATATTAAGGAGACTGTAAAATATTTATTCTCTGCCCTATGAGCCCCCTCCCCAGCTTCCTCAATATGGCAAATTTATTACCAAGAAATAGAAAAGGTATCCATCATTTTGACCCTTCATATATTCCTGTATTCTGGCACATTCTGGTTCTCCATAAAGAAAAGAAAGTCATTAGGCCTAAACATATTAACAGATAACACCAAAGAAAATGTATGGAGGTAGACCAGGGGTGGGCAAAATGCGGCCTGCAGGCCAAATCTGGCCCGCCAGGCCATTTTATTCGGCTTGCAGGACGCCTAAAAAAAATTTAGAAAATTAATATTCGTTTGTCCCTGGCTGCCTGTCATGCAGCCCTCGATGGCTTGCCAAAATTCATGAGCGGCCACCCAAAATAACTGCCCGCCCCTGAGGTAGACTCTTCAAGACAGAGGAGTGTGGGGAAAGAGGAAAGGGGAAATCACCCAGACCTCTCCACTGAATTTATCACTTGTCTTCACCCAGAGCTCATGTATTATTCCATAGGAAACACCAGCTCTAAGACAACATCTTTAAAAATTTAGAAGAATTTATGTAAAGTAAAATGCTACCCAGTTCCACGCTTAACATACTAAAGCTTAACTTTACTCTTAATGCTACAATACTTATACTGTTCTTGGACAGCAACTACATTTTCAAATCACTTACTATAGCAGCTTTCACAGGCTCGTCCTGCTCCCGTGTTCTGTGCCTGCACTCCCGTACCATTTACCACTCCTGGCTTGACATTATTTACATTGATCTGGTTGGGGTTTGGCTTGTTACTTAAAACACAAAGCAAATACAAGTAAAAAGAAGTTAATTGATTGTTACATACTATTGTCTTGCATATTCTAAAAAAAGTGTGACCCTGAAGACCTAGATAATTCATAATTTTGTTATCCCTCCTCCCTTCCCCCCTCCAAAAAGTTACTTACCAGTAAAGCCAAGTTGCCCAAATACACTTTCTCTGCAGATTATGTATTAGTTGCACATCATTTCCCAGACACCCCAGACCCATTTAAAAGCAGTTAGTCACTGAGAACACATGTACACTTCAAAATCTGATCCAAACATTCTAACCTAGGTGACAAAAGGCCCAGGGCTACAGATATCCCTCAGTGCTTCTCAGCTTAAGCAAAATGCTCCTTAAGCTGCCAAAGGAGAGATGGAACAGAGAGAGAGGTCAAACCCACAGGATAACATAATTCATAGAATTATAAAGGAAATTCCTTTCTTCCTTTCTTAAAAAAAAACAAAACATTTCTCTTACAACTCCCCTCTGCAGGAGACAGCCTCTGTCTTTGGCACCCTTTGGATACTCCTGAGAACCGCAAAATTCAGCAAAGACCTAAGGTCTGCCCTCCTGGAACAAGCACCTACTGTAGCTCCAATACTAAAGAACTGTGCCAAGTGAAAGTTGAAGACTGAACTCTTAGATAACCCAAATGGACTCGTGCCAACAACCATCTGATTTCAATGCATTTGCTGTGCAATTTCCTATGCAAGATGTGAAGGGAAACATTAAGCCATGCAATCAACAGGGATTTAAGCATGCATTTTAAAGCACTACAGGTCCAAATAGAGAATCAGATTTATTTTGCAGATCTTAATAAATATAGTTTACAAGGAAGGTAGAAGACTGCCACCTGATTTTTTCAAAGCATTTAACATCAATTTTCCTTTCATTCAAAAACCTGCATACAAAAAGAAAGTTAAATAAAACTTGGTACATACAACAGAAGAATCCTGACCTCATTCCACTGGATGTGAAGTTAAGTATTGAATGAGGGAGGCTGATAGACAGCAAAGAACTGGGAGACATTCAAGGAAACTGAAAGGTGGCAAATCCAAGACTAATGAAAAAACACTCTACCATGCAATACATAACTGTGAAATTCACAACCATATGATTCTGCAAAAGGCAAAAGCTTAGCAAAACTGATTTGGGCATTTCTAAAGAAAACCTGAAAATTCACTCCAGTTATAATAGATAACAAGACTCCAGGAAGGGATACCCTCACTTCTTAAACCAGTATCTACTTAAGAGGAACAAAAGATGTTCTTGGCAGTAGACTGTCCTTTAACTTTCTACTGTTGTACATTTTGCTCCTTTGAAGAACCTGGAATTGTCTAGGGTCAGGGACAATCTACTTAAGGAACTCTTGGAGGGGCGGAATGTGTATAAATTAACAGGTCTGGATGCTCTTCATCCAAGGGTACCAAGGGAATTGGCGAGGATCATAGCAGGGCCCCTGGCATGGCTCTATGAGAGCTCGTGGTGCTCTGGCCAGGTCCCAGAGGACTGGAAAAGGGCAATGTGCTCCCCATTTACAAGAAGGGGAGAAAGGAGGACCCAGGTAACTATAGGCCAGTTAGTTTCACCTTGGTCCTTGGAAAGATCTTTGAGAAAATTATCAAGGAACACATCTGTGGGGGCCCAGCATGGGAGGTAATGCTCAGGGCCAACCAACACAGGTTCATTGAGGGCAGATCCTGTCTAACTAACCTTATGTCCTATTATGACCAGGTCACAAAGTCCTTGGATGCAGGTGATGAGGTAGATGTCATCTACCTGGAGTTCAAGAAGGCCTTTGACACTGTTTCTCACCCCATTCTCATAAAAAAAATGAGGCGACTGCAGCATTGATACCCACAGTCAGATGGGTGGCAAATTGCCTCAATGGTCGCACCCAGAGAGTGGTGGTGGATGGGTCATTTTCAGTCTGGAGGGATGTGGGCAGTGGAGTTCCCCAGGGCTCGGTCTTTGGGCCTGTGCTATTCAATATCTTTATCAGCGACTTGGAGGCAGGTGTGGAAAGCATGCTGTCCAAAGTCGCTGATGACACAAAGATGTGGGAGAAGTGGGCACGTTGGAGGGGAGGGAGAGAATCCAACTAGATCTAGACAGGTTACAGAGGTGGGCGGATGAGAATAGGATGGAATTCAACGCAGACAAGTGCAAGGTGCTGCATCTAGGGAGAAGGAACCAGCAACACACCTATAGGCTGGGGAACTCCCTTCTCAACAACACAGGATGGACATGAGCCGCCAGTGCAAGGAAGTGGTCAGCAAGGCTAACTGTACCTTGTTGTACATATACAGATGCATCACAAGCAGGTCCAGGGAAGTGATCCTTCCCCTCTATGCAGTGCTGGTCAGGCTGTAGTTGGAGTACCAGGTGCCACACTTCAAGAGGGATGTGGCTAACCTTGAGAGGGTCCAGAGGAGGGCCACTCGCATGGTCAGGGGGCAGCAGGCCAGGCCCTACGAAGATGGAATAAAGGGCCTGAATCTATTCAGCCTCCACAACAGAAGGCTGAGAGGGGATCTGGTGGCTGTCTATAAACTCACCAGGGGGGACCAGCGGAAAATAGGTGAGGCTCTGTTCCCCTGGGCACCACCTGGGATAACAAGGAATAACGGCCGCAAATTGATCGAGAGCAGGTTCAGGCTTGATATCAGGAGGAATTACTTTACAGGTAGGGCTTCCAGGATCTGGAATGGGCTTCCAAGGGAGGTGGTGCTCTCCCCTACCTTGGGGGTCTTCAAGAGGTGGTCAGATAGATATCTGGCTGGGGTATTATGATCCCAGCACTTGTTCCTGCCCAGGGCAGCGGGGCGGGCTTGATGATCTGTTCAAGTCCCTTCCGACCCTAGAAACTATGAAACTATGACTTGCTGAACTAAACAGACTCTGGATCAGACACTATGTGGCAATTTCTATGCTTCTGAGAAATCAAAATGCTCTTCCCAGTCGCTCAGGTTCTTAAAGGACATTTCTTATGTCCACCTGTTGTTGTTCTTCACATCTGGAAATCAAATTAAAACTTCTTGTTTTTCATGTCAAGGTCCTACTTTGTTCTGCTTCACCTATATCTCTGGCCAGGCTCTCCTTAGCTGATTCTTGCCTTATCTGTTCTTCCAACAAATGTGACCTTGACCATACTTCCATGTCCTCACTCCTCAGGCATCACTCAACTTTTATGCATGCAACCCCTTATCCTCACTATGTCCTCCCAAACTAGTCTACCAATTTACCTGTAATCACCACATTTGAGTCCTGCCCAGAAAAAAGCCAAAGTGAGAAAAAGCAACCAGACAATTTAAAATTCACAGAATCAAAACATAGATGCATTTGTGTCTTATGAGGAACTACATGATTTTTCTTTCATTCCCTTCCCTTACTTGCCAGTTTGTAACCCCGACTTGCAACACCACAGAAAGTCAATATTTTATTCATCTCTGTGCATGTTCCTCCAGTGTACAAAACAGCCAAGCACAATTCTAGGTCCTTTAAAAACATTGGTCTGTGTGTCTTCTAATGATCTCTAGCGAACTGAAGTTGCTCCACATTAAGAAGTTTTTGTTGCATTATTTTTCTTTTAAAATGGCATGGAATTCCAGTCAAAATATCCATATTAAGAAAGGCTGTAGTAGGCATGGTTAAGGTGCCTTAAGCATTACAACCTGGCAAGTTTCAGTACTTTCAGACTTTTGAGTACTTCACCTTGCAAACTTAATGCATTTTTTGTACATAAAAATAATCAGCTAGAAAAAAGTTCTCTTTATTGCCTTCAATTCTAGAAAGAAGGAAACTTTTTTCCCACAATGACTTTACATGGGAGACCTCTTCAAAAGATGAATAGAGAAGGAAGCTGTGAATACTACAGATCTAGGAGTTCTGAGAACACATCAGTACATTGTAATTTCATCCCATGTCAGAAAGATGGAGAGACAGTCATCATGGAAAGCACAACCTGATGATAGCATGGTTTTTACAGCTCCCCATCACCTTGGCTGATGAAAGGCAGCATCGGGGACAGAAAAGCAGTGTCTGCTCAGACACACTATTACTGCGTATAATTTGACTTTCTAGTTTTATTTCTATAGTAAGACAGATATTCCAAGAGGCATCCTGTAGAAGAATGGGAGTCATTTCCTCAAATGTAAAAGGCTACCATCCTATTTGGAGGACACACAATTGTAGGGAAGCAAAGACCTAGCAGCACTTCATTTCCTTAAAGTGTCATTTTAATATACAGAATCAAATCACCTCACTTCAAAGAGATTTATATGTAAATACCTTTTTGAATTTCCCTCTGCGAAGACAGCCAAAAGAAAGTGATCTGCATTCTATCAATTGTAAATAGTCGCTTCTGGCCTTATAAACAATGGCCTAGTCTGTCTCAGTGGGCTGGAGTGACAGAGTGGTTAAAAGCATCTTGCTGCAGTTCCAGAGATACATGTTAAAGCCCTGCTCTGGACTAATGCCAAGGGCTGTCCTCAGTGAGCCCAGCTGCTTATTCAGGCTGGGGAGTCCGAGGCAACTGGACATGGCAGGTGCTATAATCACTCCACTATGTGCTTGTTAGCTCTAGAAACAAATGAAGCCCAGCTGGAACGATAACCCAAACCCCACTTCATAAATGCAATCCACAGAATTTCTTGCATAAGTCCAGAATTCTTGGTTGAGTTGTATCATCTTTAGAAAGGACAATGTTGATTTAAATGTTTCAAATGGTACAGAATTCGTCTCATCCACAAATAAGATGTTCAATGGTTATTTACCCTAACTGCTTGGAGAAAAAAGAAAGCTGCACTTTATTTCTAGCCTGGATTTATTTAGTTTGCATTTCCAACCACTAGGTCCTATTCCACTGTGGTTGGCTAGATCAAAGAGCTCTCTGTTTCCCTCTTTATGGAGTATTTCCAGGCTATAAACCTAGTCACTTCAAACATTTCTTGGAAAAGCTAAATAGATCATTCTTTAATATCATTGTAA